TAAATATGCCAAATTTCTATAAAGCTAGTTTAATATTGGTTTTCTTATTGTCGTAAGTTTACATTTGTATCTAATATTATTTTTACAATTTTATTTCATAGGTACGAATTATTTATGTACCAGTGTAATGTAATAGTCCAGTGTTACACGGTTTTTCGCTTAGAAGTTTTTCGAACTATATCGATTGGGAGTAAAAATTAATAAACTCAAAAAACTGTAGATATAGCTACACTGAAATATTCTAAGAAAAAATATGTGTGTTGTGTGAGTGTTGGGCAGGGGTTGGCATCGGATTCGAAGTCCATTTGTCACAGATTGTTTATGGTATTACAATATATTATATAACTATTTTTGTTTTATATATAATTTGTACTAATGGGTCATATATATTCTTGTCAACGGTATTAAAAAGAGTGGACATATTAAGTGGGGAAAATATGTTAAATTATTTTAGCTCGGATATTAATTGTATTATAGCATTATTATTATTATTTTTAGAATTGTGCAAAAATAGGCGGTTTAAGTCTGCAATACTTAAATGGGGCATGTTCAAAAATTTTGAATTTTTTTTTATGAATAGTAGAGTTAAAAATAAAACTACATTTTTTTTATCTATTCATTTGCCGGAGTTATGAATTTTTTTATAATTTATGATGTCACCGGGAATAGACCAATAGGAGCTAGCGCACAACGTTGCCGGCTAGAAGGTTTACGAGAAGTGATGTACGTTCGTTTGTGTACTCCTTCTTACTTTTAGACTTCTAAAACATCGTTAAACAAATATCTTTTAAATATATAATATCAAATGTTTTTTGAAAGTATTATTTCTGTTTAAACTTTTACCATATTTAAAGTTTCATTGTTTTAAAAGTCACTTAATAATTCAGAAAATGGCAAAATGGCAGCACTGTGTATGGCATCTGTCATCATAGTGTCTCGATCAAGAATTTATTTGGAATTTGAGTGTTGCTCTATTTGATTAGGTTGATGAAGGTTGTCAATTTGACCAGTGTCAGATAAAAACCAAATTTTGCTTTTTAATTATAAACTAATTTATTAGCTTATAGTTTTACATATTTTCAAGCCCAACAAAAGTTTTTGCATAGTAAATACTTCGTTAAAGCAGTTTAACGTAAAAGCTTTATCTTACCCCAATATGGGGGAAGATTCCCCAGGAAGTAGTAATCCACAACAAACTCCACGTGCCATTATTAAATCTAAGCTTACTACAGAACAAAATGAATTACTGAACTCTTTACATCAGCTATCACCAGCACAAAATAAGTCTTTATTAGATCTTGAGAAGGAACTGTATAAAACCCTAGAAGAGTTTAAGGATAATGAAGAAGTGTCCAGAGAAATAATACAATTGAAAAATAAAGTTACTGCTTGTAAATCTAAAATAGTCACTTATTCGCAATCAGATTTTGGCCCTTTTACAGTAATAGTAGAACAAAAAGTTAATGGAGAAAACATACCGAGTCTACATCCTATGGACTTGGGAAAAAGATTTCATGCTCTAGGAATCTCTAATGTTAAAAGTATTAAAAAGAAAGGCAAACACAGAGTTGGAGTAAGTTTTAATCTTCCACATGAAGCCAATAAAATACTTTGTAACGAGACACTCTTACGTGAAGGTTATAAAATATACATTCCTCAAAGGTTTTTAACGGTCAAAGGCATTATTAGAGATGTAGGCTATTCCATTACAAGTGAAGATATTTTACAAAATGCTGGCAACAAATACAATATTATAGAAGCTCGTAGACTAAACAGGAGAATAGTCACTCAAGAAGGAATTCAGTATCTACCTTCATCTACTTTTTTACTAACTTTTAAAGGAAAAAAAAGACCTGAAGAAATTGAAATTTACACGTACCATACTAAAGTGTTTGCTTATGTTCCTCCTGTTACGCAATGTAGAAACTGTTTGAGATTTGGCCATGCCCAAATTCAATGTAGAAGTAAAAAGCGTTGTAACTGCTGCGGTGAAAGTCATGAAAATTGTGATAAAGAACCTGTGTGTATTTTTTGCGATCAGAATCACAAATCTACAGATAAAAATTGCCCTGAGTTTTCCCGCCAGAAGAATATTAACGAACTAATGTCCTTTCAGGATTTGTCATATTATGAGGCATCACAATTATCTCCTCCCATTATATCCAGAAATATCAACAAATTTAATTTTCAACGTACCCCTCAGTCTTTTCCTCCGTTAAATGCCACTCTCTCTGAATCATCCTCTTCAGCAAGACGGTCTTATGCAAAAGTTACTATGACACCAAAAAGGAAGAAGGTAAACGTGATTGAAAAAACAGGCTATGATATATTAGCACATAAAGGAGCTCTGCTTCCTCAACCGACCAGATTAGTATCTCAATCATCAGTATATCAATATACTCAAGAGAAGGTCACACCAAACACAAAATTAGACTCTCAACCCTCAGTTTATCAATGTACTCAAGGTAAAATAACACCAGATAATCTATCTCCTCCGCATTCTTCTCTAAAAAGTTCCTGGATTGATATCCATTTAGACGCATCTGACAATAACAATGCTAATGATTCCGAGAGCATGTTAATTGATGATATTCCAAATACTCCTTTCTCTTCTTCATTTCCAAAAATTTAAATATAAGACAAATTCGAACTGCTGCACATTTAGCAATTTATATCATAATAAGTATTTAAAATAATTTAAGTAACCTATTTTAATTATTATTTAGAGTAATTTTAATGGACTTAAAAATTCTTCATTGGAATATTCGTAGTTTTTATACGAACAAAGATACACTGGTAAACTTAATTCGAGATTTTAAGTTGGACATAGTGTGCTTAAATGAAACATTTCTAAAGTATAATCAAATATCTTTTATTCGAGGTTTTGACTGTATAAGACACGACAGGTATGATGGGTACGGGGGAGTAGCCATACTTATTCATAATAGCATTCCGTTTAATCGAATAATCCTAACAAATATATTATTACCTGACTCTTGGCAAATTGTAGTAATAGAATTACCTCCTTTAATTCTTATTAGTATTTACATAACCCCTGACACAGTTTTATCTAGGAACATTCTTAATAATGTGTTCACTTTCATTAGGGCAAAATCACATAAACCAATTGTTTTAATAGGGGATCTTAATACTCAACATACGGCCTGGGGCTCTGGTTATTGTAACAGGAATGGTTTAACTCTTGAAAAGTTTCTAGATGACTACGGACTTGTCATACTCAATGATGACACTCCCACTCCGGAACTGGCTACTAAATCAAATTGGCAAGTAATATATGATTCTGGGACCAGTGACCACCTTCCTTGCCTTGCACACTTTAGTAATGGAGATAAAGGACAAATAGACCATAGTAGAACAACTCTTGGGCGATTTAATACTAAAAGAGCTAATTGGCCACTATTTACATCAACCGTAGAAGCTGAATTTAATACTATAGACAGAACATACGATGAATTTTCTAATATCATAATTTCGGCTGCAAAGAGGACAATTCCATTAAAAAAATGTAAAAAGGTTGGTAAACCTCGAAACGTTTGGTGGGATGATGCTTGTACAGTAGCAATTCAAGCACGCAAGGAGGCCCTTCGACAATACAAAGAAAATGCAACGATTGAGAACTTCGTGGAATTTAAAAAAATTCGAGCAAAGACAAGAAGAATACTAAGAGAACAGAAAATGCAAAATTTTCAGAAATTTTGCTCTAGCTTATCTCCGAATAAAAAGATATCAGGATAACATATCTGAAATAAATTTTTCTGTGAAAACAAGTAAACCTTTCACTTTAGATGAAATTAATTCTGTTCTCCAGGAGAAAAAGGACACGGCTCCAGGTTTAGATAACATATCAAATAGTATGCTATCCCACCTTCCTTTAAGTGGTCTAGAATATTTATTAAATATATATATATAATAGAGTTTTAACAAATTTAGTACCTATTCCTCAAGAGTGGAAATCTCAACTGGTGACGCCTGTACCCAAGCCTGGAAAAGATATTAGTTCTACGGAAGGTTGGAGACCTATTAATCTTTCCTCCTGTCCCGGTAAATTATTTGAATCATTAATTAAAAACAGAATAGAGTGGCATTTAGAAAATAAAAGCCTGCTTAATTCCAAACAGTCAGGTTTTCGACGAGGAAGAGGAATTCAGGATAACTTAACGGCTTTGTATTCATTAATTGCTACAAGCCTAACTGACAGAGAGGATGCTGTGGTAGCTCTGCTTGATATATCATCAGCTTATGACAATGTAAATATTTCAAAATTATTTAAAAGGTTAGCGGAATACACACTCCCGGAGGATATTTGTAGAATTTGCATTTCCTTATTGTCGCAGCGAAGCATTAGCGTTTTGGATCCGTTATCTGGCAATATCATAGGCCCACGTATCACAAATGAGGGAGTTCCTCAGGGATCCCCTTTAAGCCCGATATTATTTAATATATATTGTGACCCTCTTAAAACAGTAATTTCCGAGAACGTAACTCTACTAGGTTATGCAGATGATTTTATTCTAATTTGCACTGGTCATAATCGGAAAAAGATGATCAATGATGTAAATGAGTCACTTGAAAATATTAAATCATATTTGGAGGAAAATGGACTACAATTATCTCCCTCAAAATGTATGGCTATCTGTAAAGGTAAACCCAACCCGTTAGATTACATTAAAATTAATGGAAACAAAATTCCCTGGAAAAATGAAATTAAATACTTAGGAGTTACTTTTCAACATAATTTGAACTGGAAGCCACATGTAGAGTACATATGTGGCAAAGCACTAAAAGGCATTAACTTAATGAAATGCTTATGCCGTACATGGTGGGGTGCCCACCCATCTACTCTTCTTATGATTTATAAAGCCTTGGTTCGTAGTCATCTAGATTTTGGAAGTATTCTTTTCGGTCGTTGTTCGCAAGAGCTCTTGAAACGATTAGATAAAATGCAATATCAAGCTATTTGTGTAGTATTAGGTATGATGCGCTCAACACCAACTAATATATTGCTATCTGAAAGTGGAGAGTCAACCTTAA